TACTGGCACTTCCTCTAAGGGACAAAATGTATTTTATTTTTTCATTTTTGAGTGGGAAACATTTGTTATTGATTTAGTTTCCCCTCTTATTGCTTAATGGAGTACTAGAACATATTTTGCCTTGAAGGTAACAGAATAATAACTTTTATGATACCTTTCAGACATCTGAAATAGGATTTGATTGTTTAATCCCAGTGGTCTCTAGATCCTGATCATTCTTGAGTTACATTTGTAGGCCTTAAGGCTAAGGGTTGGACATAGGTTGTAGGAAGGTACTAGAGAAGGAAAAAAGTAGAGGAGAAATACCTAAAGAGCACATAATGGTACTGAAGAATGTTTCTAGAAGCTCTCAGTGGGCAGTTGTGCACCAGACGTCCAACTGCATTGTTGTTATTTTTTTTTTAAGATTTTATTTATTTGAGAGAGAGAGAATGAGAGAGAGAGCATGAAAAGGGGGGAGGGTCAGAGGGAGAAGCAGACTCCCTGCTGAACAGGGAGCCCGATGTGGGACTCGATCGTGGGACTCCAGGATCATGACCTGAGCATAAGGCATTCACTTAACCAACTGAGTCACCCAGGAGCCCTGTTATTATTTATTTTTTTTAAGATTTTATTTGTTTAAATAATCTCTGCACCCATTGTGGGGCTGGAACTCACAACCCTGAGATCAAGAGTCACATGCTTCACCAACTGAGCTAGCCAGGCATCCCCAATTGCATTATTTTTGTTTGAAATAAACCCAAGCTATGTATCTCCACAGATTCTTAGTATTACGGGAGCCTTTCAGGACATTCTTCTGAGACATGTGAATTCTGAGCACAACTTTGCTGGCTGTGAGCACCTTTAGCCTCAGAGTGGATGTTAAGTTCTGTGTATTGGCAGGTTTCCAGCATTTACTAATTAGGTTATGCCTACTTAAATACTCCTGGCAATTTCCCTTGGCCACTGCATTCTTCACACTCTGCCCTAACCTGTTTTGTATGCAGTCTGCCTTTGGGCTCTGCTTAGACATTTATAACTTTTCTTTCAAAAGAAGTTTTTAATAAAGTATTGATTTGTATATTTTTTAGTTAATAATTTATTTTTGATTATAAAAGCAATACACTGTAGAAAATATAAAGAGAAAAATTTGCTTTTCATCCTACTACCAGTGAACAAATGTTAATATTTTAGTGTGTTTTAGTCTAGTCTTTTTTTCTGGGTTTATGTGTTGTGTGTAGGGGTGGGAGAGAGAAAAATAAGTGTAAATGTTATTTTTTAAAACGAGAAGCCTCTTAAGTTTGCTACTGGGCACAAAGTAATTTTTAACATAAACTTTATTTTTACAGAACAATTTTAGAATCACAGAAAAGTTGGAAAGATAGTACAGAAATTCTCATATGCCCTTTACCTGGCCTTCCCTAATGTTAATCTTACTGAACTATGGTACATACTTGAAAACTAAGAAATTAACACTGGCACAATGCTATGGACTACAGACTTTATTTGGACTTCCCTAGTTTATCCACTCATGTCCTTTTTCTGTTCCAGAATCCAATCCGGGATACCATATTGTATTTTAAAAGAACAGTTTTTTTCTTATTTTCTGCTTAACTTTATACCATGAACATTTTTTTTTTGTCCTTAAGTGTTCTTTAAACAATGCTTGTTAATGGCCCCATAAGAGCTGATCAAATGGATAGATGTACTCTGATGTAAATATTTCTGGTTAACCTTGTGTGTTGGGTGGCATTTTGTGAGGTTGAGGAGTGTTAGAAAGCACACACACCTCAACCATTTTTTTTTAGTGGTGTACTTGAATTGGGTAATTTTAATGCTAGATTATAACAGTAATTTTGAATACATTACTCTAAAAGTAGAAAATAATCAAGCTTATTTTCCTTTGAGAATATGTTTAAGAGCATTTTAGGTTGAGTTAAATGCAGAAAATGATGAGCTATTCATGAAGCAGTTTGTTCTGAAGGTTATTAGAGTTGCTTGGCATTTGCCTAACCTTACTTTAGGCAGATTGTATGTGTACATTTTATATACACAAACCGATATTTAGCCTTTTTTCTTTTTTTGGTGACCTTTTTTTTTTTAATTGAATTAAATTTTATATACAATAGAATGAATGGATCGTAAACAGTTTGATGGGTTTTGATAATTGAATACACAAAGTAACCACCACCCAAATCAATACAGAAATTTTCCCAAACAGTTCCTTCATGCCTTGTTCCAGTCAATCCCACCCAACCCCAAAGACAACCACTGAGTTCCAGTACACAGATTAATTTTCCATGTTCTTGAATTTCACACAAATGGAATCATATAATATGTATTCTTTAGTACCTGAATTTTGCTCAACATAGTGTTTTTGACATCCGTGTTGTCTTGAGGAGTACTTCATTGTACTAATATACCACAATTTGTTTATTCATTCTCCTATTAGGAGGCATTCAGGTTGCTTCAGTTTGGGGCTATTAAGTATTACAGGTTGCTATAAATATTTTTGTACAAGTCTTTTTGTAAATATATTTTTATTTCTTTTAGATAAGTTCTTCAGAGCAGGATTGCTAGGTCATATGGTCCGATATTTAGCCTTTTAATATGAGTCTAGTACTAGCATGATACCCATCTGTGTTTGGAAATACAGATTTATGGTATATTCTGCCTATACACTTAAATATTCAGTTTTGAAAATTATCACTTTATTTCCTTTTCTGATATCCTTCGTTAATGTTTATTTAGTTCTAGGTTAAGCATATAATAGAAAAAGCGAAGATACTTAGAGATTTTCTTGCATGTCTTTTATTATTTTGTAGATATTTACAGCTTGATTGATACTGAATAAATTTTGTATTTAACATGAAGTTTGAAGGTAGAGTGGCTTGCATTTAGTGTTTTGTTGTTTTACAGAATTAAGCCAGATGCTTTTTAAGAACTATTTAAGAACTATGCTAAGGAAAATACTGTAAAATTCATATTTAGGTTTTACCTCTTACTGTTGCTCTGTTTAGTGAAACCTCATAGGTTAAATATTTATTATGCTAGAGTTCAATCCGGGCTAGTAGACTACTCTCTATTAGGAAATTTATAAACTAGAGGTTTATTATGAGGGTTAAGCAATCGTTTGTTAATTTGACACAATTGTATGAATTAATATATAGAAATGACTGAGTTGAGGAATATGAACATGGAATTCTGATATATAGTACTTAGAGAAAATTGAATGTACTAGCTCTGTAAGATCAAATATATTTATTCCAATTTTCAGAGTTAGTGATAAATCTTTTCTGGAGAATGCCTAGACTTTCTTACTGCTATCTTACAATTATGTCGTCTCTCTGTGGTGCAATCTGTGGATTTTTAGTGGAGAGAGCTATGCAATCTGTTATATAGAATGTTCATCACTTTGATGTTACTGGAGGATGGTATTTGATTTCCTTGTACATATTTTTATGTCACAACATAAAGTACTAAACTAAGAGTTTTTTGAGAGTTCCCAAGGTTGATGATAGTTTTTCCTATGATTCAAGGTGCTGGGATTGTTGCCATTGGTACTGATTACATTATTGAGTTAGCTAAGGCAGAGTGACTCATCTGCTGGGTTTGCACATCTGTAGTTGTGTTTTTATATCTTAGGTCAGAGATTATGGACGCTCAGACTTAATTGTATAAATTTCATCAGCCGTGTTTCTAGGGATGAGTATATTCCAAGGTTATAGATCACTCCAGGATTGAATTATGAGCAGTATAATTAAAGGCAAAGTGGTGTTTTATATCATCTTCCATTTTAATATTTCTCGTTTTATTTTTATCAAGCCATTTTAGTACCATTTTCTGACTATTTGCTAAGTGTACACATACAATTGTTGATAGGTAGATAAATGGTAAAGATAATAGCTGTAGGTTCTTCCATTTCATTCTTAAAAGTCAGAATGTATGATTGAAAATGACTTTTTCAAATTCAGTGTGTGAAATATGAGGTTAAAGTGGGTAACTTTTTTAGGGTCTTGAAGGAGCAGCCGAGGTTTAGGTCATCATCCTACAGTAACATTCACTGTAGGCAGGTCTAGATGCTGTTGGGAGAATGCTTATGTTTATAGATGGATGCTGTGATTGGTAGGTTAGACTTTGGGCATCATAGACAACAGTAGAACACTATTAACTGTATTCTTAGGAATTAATTCTTAGGAATTAGAAGTTCGCCTTGTACAGACTCTAGATTTTTAGCCTCTATAGGACAGTATTTTGGTAAGACATTAGTGGCATCTTTAAGATTATAAGGGAGAATGTGAACTATGGCAGAGCAAGCTGGCCCTTCATGAAATGGCACGAGCCTGTCTTCCTACCTATCTCTTAATATTTTCCCATGCATACCCTACATTCCAGCTGTACGGAATTATTTGCTGCGTCTGGAGCAGGCCATATCCTTTTATGCTTCTGTGCTTTTGCCTGCACTCTTCTTGGTCTGGATTGCCCTTGCCCTAGCAAACTCCCCCCAATCTTTTAGGACCTGACTTAGAGGTTACCTTTCTCAGGAGGCCTCCTGTCACTTGTCTTTCCTTCTGCTGTGAGATGTTCTGATGGCACTGGCCTATGGGCTTGTAACTCATTGTTTTCATTTTCTTGTCTGTCTCCCTCACTAAACAGTAAACTCTTTGAAATCAGGGAATATGTCTGTATCTTATTTCTAGCATTTAACTCAGTGCCTGGCAAAGAGAATTGGTGCTCAGGAAATACTTGTTGAATGCTTCAGTGTGAAGATGGAAAAATTAATGGGCTCAATTTTTTATTTTATTCTCTCCTTAATATTGATAATTGTTTACAAATTACTATAAACCTACTAAGTAATTTTTTGCTAGCTTTAGTCAAACAACTATATATGAAATAAGGAAATGTTACTTTTTTTAATATTTTAGATTTATCCACAGGAAAATGAATTGCTAACAGTTTAAATATACATAAGTATGTGCTTAAGTTTTCTTGATCATGCTGGTTTTACTTATCTCTTACAGAGAAAACAGAAATGAGAGGAATCTGGTTTAAATTGCAATACCAGGAATTTAGATTAGACATAAAGAGTTTCCAGAAAATAAAGTACCAGATATTGAAGTGTGTAAGTAATGTAATTGATTTTTTGAAGAATTTAAAAAGGAGGGTGGTGTGGTTAGATGTTTATGAATTGCAAAGTAGTTCACCAACATAGTCCCTAGTAAAATAAAAAACCTAAAGGAAGAAAAATCTCCTTGTATGGACTTAGGAATATGCAGATACAACCATATTCATGGATAGATGCTTAAAAAACAGTTGGGTACTTTTTTGGTTTTGTGTGTTTGTGTGTACTTCAGTTTTCAGCTAACAAGGAAACTTGCAGGTGTCCTTACCTTTCTCAGAATGTCTCTGGTTTTGGTGACTAGCAGAATATACTGAGAAATCTCTCCCCTTAGCTTGTTTGTTTGTTTGTTTTTTTGTTTGTTTTTTAACTCTTCTTAAGAATAATATAAAGAATAAAAAATCCTTAGCAGTGTTAAGAATAAGCAGGAAATGAATACATACCAATAACCAGTCAGACCACTGACATAAAGAACACGGTTTTTGAATGTCATTCTCTTGATTGTTTTAATGTAATTAAATGTGGCGGTTAGCTGTGCCCCAAATTTAGAGTTATATTGCTATGCTTCTAACTATAGATATTCTGTCCTGGCTACATTTGAACAGAACTACTGTAGAATAAGCCAAATTCACCCTCAGTGCTAGTGAACTGAAAGAGCAAATATACCTTCCTAAGCACCAAATTTATAATCACACTCATGAATAGAGTTCAGTGTTCTCTTTGCTTGTCATTCTGCAAGAATCATATTGGAATAATTTAAGACAGCTTTACTAAATTTATTAATGTAACTCTTGTTATGAGGATAGTGCTTAAGTTTTAGGCTTCTGTGCTTATAGTGCAAAAGGCTCCTTTGTAATACAAGAGACAGGATTTTACCTGTAGTGGTGATATAATAATTCCTTGTCTTTTTAAACACTATATATTTTTCTAAATGTTTTGATAGCTAGAAGTTATTTGGTTTTCACAATAACTCTGTGAAATAGGTATCCTAATCTTATAAATGAGGAAATTTAGGCACAGAAAGGTTGACTGACTGCCATCTAAAACATTGTTTTAAAATAAGTTATTGTTATTATTTCAGTGGTTAGCATTTACTAATTGCTTGCTATATACCATGCACTGGTTTAAGCTTTTTATATATATTAATTAATAAGAGCTTGGGCTTTGGAGTCAGATTTGGATTTAATTTGGCTCTTTCTCTTAATAACTGTTGACCTTGGGAAAGCTACCTAACTTATTCAAGCCTTGGTTTTCCTCATTTGGAACACAAATATAATGATAGTACCTACCTCATAGGGTGGTTGTATAGACTGAGATAATCCAAGTGAATCTATGTCTAGTATACAGTGAAGGCTTTAAAAATCAGTTTGCTATAGAAAAATAAGGTGTTAATAGATAATATGTAGTATAATTTTCAGCTTCTTGATAATTTTAGTGTAAAATCACTGTATTCTTCTTGAGTATGTAGTCATAGTTGATCTGATATACCTTTTTTACAAAGTAACATCCATGTTACAGCAAGATTATAGCTCCGTATAATGTCTATAGCTACCTCTTTCCTCTCACTACCTCCAAATCAGCTTTTGGTTCTAAGCCTTTTGCTAGTGGGAAGAAACCAAAGACAGTTAACAAGTCATGGATAATCTCCAAAGCATTCATGTTTCAGAGTCAATGCAGGACACCTGTGATCCATCTGGGTTATGTTCATTCCAGGAGTGCTGTAGTATATCAGTTATTTGGAACTCAGAATGTGTTTTGGTATAGAAAGTATCCTTTTGAACGAAGCCCACAAAGTCTTTTAATCCCTGATACAACTGACATGCTGAATATTTGCATTGGAAAAGCAGTAAAAGCAAGTAAAAACTTGACAATACTTTGGCAGTGCTAATAATCAAGGAAATAAAATGATAAAACTAGATATATATTGATAGAAAGTACGGTGGAACAGGAAGCATCAGTAATCTATCTCCCCACCTAGGCAACAGTTGCACTGGCAGAATCTTTTAGAGCTGCTTTGGTACTTCCAAGTTACTGAAGTTATTGAAGACTTGCATGTGCCAGAAGGCTTGGACATAAATTGCGATTAATTTCAGTCAGTTTCAGCTCTTAGCACAGCTACCCATCTTTTCCTCCCAGCCCTGTGCAGCTTATACCCAGGTTGTGAGAGCCAAGATAGGCAGAAAAGATCCTCTTTTCCAAATGTCAGAGATCTGTGCTTGGGTCACTGACTGCTGCTTCTGATCACAGAGGTTCACACAAAGAAGTGGGCAACCAACCATTGTTGTTACACCTTCCCCCATTGTTGCAACCCCCTCCCCTCCAGCTAAAGTGACTTCTAGGATTTTAAAGGCCTAGTACCTTCTTTTGTCCCATTCATTTTTCTCTTTTTTCCCTTTTGGGAAACAGACATTAAAGACCACAACATTCAAAAACAACTGCATATACAGGGAAAATTTGAAGGTGACCTCATGTGTCCAGATAAAGGCCCAGAAAAATTCTGAGAAGACAAGACCTTAAGTTCACATGTCAGGCTGACTGTTGGCACAGGGCCAGCCTACAACAATCAATAAAATAAAAACAATCACAAAAAACAGCAAAGGGGAGAATCTGATTTCCAGAATTACCATATTTTTAGATTAAAATGTCCAGTTTTCAGCAAAAAAATCACAAGGCATACAAAGAAATAAGAAAGTATAGTCCATCTAAAGGAAAAAAATAAATCAACAGAAATTGTCCCTGAAAAAGTCCTGATGACAGACATATTACAGAAGATGAAAACAACAGTCTTAAAGATGCTCAGAGAACTAAAGGAAAATGTAGAAAACAAAAAATACCTTTAAATAAAGAGAAAACAAAAAGAAATCAAATAGAAATTCTAGAGCTGAAAATTACAATAACTAAAATGAAAAATTCAGTGGATTCAAAGGCAGCTGTGAGTAGGCAGAACAAAAAGTCAGCAAACATGAAGATGGGACAATGGAAATTATCAAGTCTGAGGAATGGAAAGAAAACGGATCGAAGAAAAATAAATGGAGTCTGACGGAGCTGTGGGACACAGTCAAGTGGAGCAACATACATATTATGGGAGCACTAGAGGAGATGAGGGAAAGGGGAGGAGAGAATATTTGAAGAAATAAGGGCTGAAAACTTCCCAAATTTGATGAAAGACACAAATATAAACATCCAGGGAGCTCTTTGCACTCTAAATAAGATTAGCTCAAAGAGACACATCCAAGATGCATTATAATTAAACTTCCTAAAACCAAAGACAAGGAATCTTTTCTTTTTTAAGATTTCATTTATTTATTTGAGAGAGAGAGAGACAGAGCACGAGTGGGGGGGAGGGGCAGAGAGAGAGGGAGAAGCAGGCTCCCACTCAGCAGGGAGCCCAACCTGGAGCTTGATCTCAGGACCCTGAGATCATGACTCGAGCTGAAGGCAGATGCTTAACCAACTGAGCCACCCTGGCACACCCCAAAGACAGAGAATCTTGGAAACAGCAAGAGAGAAGCAAATCATCACATACAAGGGATCGTCAATAAGATTATTAGCAAATTGCTCATTGGAAACTTTGGAGGCCAGGTGGCGGTGGGCTTATATATTCAAAGTGGTAAAAGAAAAAAACTGTCAGCTGAGAATTCTGTATCTGGCAAAACTGTCCTTCAAAAATGATGGGGGAGATTCAGACATTCCCAGATAAACAAAAGCTGAGGGAGTTCATTACCACTAGATCTGCCCTGTAAGAAATGTGCAAGGGAGTCCTTCAGGGTGAAAAAAGGACACTAGACAGTAACTTGAAGCCATATGGAGAAATGAAGATCTCACTAAAGATAAATACAGGGGAGTTATAAAAGCTAGTACTATTGTAACGAAGATTTATAACTGTACTTTTTGTTTTCTACATGATTAAGAAACTAATACATTTTTTTAAAGATTTTTATTTATTTATCGAGAGAGAGAGAGAATGGTAGAGAGAGAGCATGAGAGGGAAGAAGGTCAGAGGGAGAAGCAGACTCCCTGCTGAGGAGGGAGCCCGATGCGGGACTCGATCCTGGGACTCCAGGATCATGACCTGAGCCGAAGGCAGTTGCTTAACCAACTGAGCCACCCAGGCACCCGAAACTAATACATTTAAAAGGGGAGAAAAAGCTAGTCTTGTAATTTTGGCTTATAATTCTTTTGTTTTCTATATAAGAGACTAATACAGTGTCTGCCTTCAGCTGAGGTCATGATCCCAGGATCCTGGGATCAAGACCCACATCAGGCTCCCTGGTCAGCTGGGAGTCTGCTTCTCTCTCTCTCCCTCTACCCGCCCCCCCCCAGCTCATGCTCTTTCTCTCTCTCTCTTCTCTCAAATAAATAAATAAAATCTTTTTAAAAAAAAAAGACTAATACCTTTAAAAGAATGATTAGTTTATGTATTTGGGCATACAATGTATATATAAAGATAGGTTTGGGACATCAGTAACTGAAAGGAGAGTGGGGATGGAGCTGTAAAGGAGCAGAGGTTTTATATGTTACTGATGTTAAGCTAGGATAAATACACATTGGATCATTATAACCTTAGGATGTGAAATCTAATCCCCATGGTAACTACAAAGAAAATAGCTATAGAATATACACACAGAAGAAAATTAGAAAGGAATTTAAACATTTCACTATAAAACAATCATCTAAACACCAAAGAAGACAGCAATAGGAAATGAGGGACAAAAAAGCTTAAGGCATATAGTAAACAAATAGCAAAATGACAGAAGTCCCTCCTTATCGGTAATTAATTGTAAATGCACTAAGCTCTCCAGTCAAAAGACATATTGGCAGAATGGATAAAAACACATGATCCAACGGTATGCTATCTATAAGAGACTCCCTTGAGATCCAAAGACAAATAGATTGGAAGTAAAAAGGTGGAAGAACATATTACATGCAAATAGTAACCAAAAGAGGGCAGGAGTGGCTATACTAATATCAGATAAAATAGACTTTAAATTTAAAAAGGTAATAAGACGGATGCTTGGGTGGCTCAGTCTGGTTAAGCATCTGTCTTCTGCTCAGGTCATGATCCCAGGGTCCTGGGGTTGAGCCCCACATCGGGCTCTCTACTTAGTGGGGAGTCTGCTTCTCCCTGTTCCTCTGCCTGCCGCTCCCCCTACATGTGCTTTCTCTGTGTCAAATAAAATCTTTAAAAAATAATGAAATTACAAAGTTATAAGAGACAAAAGGGTATTATATATTAATAAAATATTCAACAGAGCAAGAAGGTATAACAGTTATAAACACTTATGTACCTAATAGACCATCAAAATACACAAAGTAAAAACTGACAGAATTGAAGGCAGAAATAGACAGTTTTACAATAGTAGTTGGAGACTTCAGTACCCTACTCATAATAATAGATACACTATAAGTAAGGAAATAGAGGGCATAACCAACTAGTGCTAACAGACATAACAAAACATTGAAAGATTTCACGCAAAAAAATTTTAGGACTAATAAACGAATTCGACAAAGTAGTAGCATACAAAGTCCATATGCAAAAATTAGTTATGCTTTTCTACACTAACAATGAACAACCTGAAAGAAAATTACAAAAACAGTTCCATTTACTGGAACAGTGCCGTTAAAAAGAATAAAATACTTAGGAATTAAGTTAACCAAAGGGGTAAAAGACTTGTACAATAAAATCTACAAAACATTGCTGAAAGAAATTAAAGAATATATAACTAAACACACCCCATGTTCATGGATTAGAGGATGTAATATTGTTAAAATGTCAGTGCTATTCAAGGAGATCTGCAGATTCAGTGCAACCCCTATCAGAATTCCAAGGATTTTTTTTCCCCAAAATAGAAAAACCCATCCTAAAATTTATATAGAATCTCATGGGACCTCAAATAGCCAAAACATTTTTTTTAAAGGAATAGCAAAACTGGATGACTCACACTTCCAGATTTCAAAACTTACTACAGAGCTACAGTAATCAAAACACTATGGTACTTGCATAAAAATAGACTTACAAGACCAATGGAATAGCATAGAGAACCCAGAAACAAACCCTCACATATATGGTCAACTAAAGTTTCACAAAAGTGCCACTACCATTCAATGGTGAAAGGACAATCTTTTCAACAAGTGATTCTGGGAAAACTGGATATCCATATGTGAAAGAATGAATTTGGACCTTCACCTAACACCACACATAAAGTTTAACTCAAAATGGATCAAAGACCTAAATATAACACATAAAACAATACAGTTCTTAGAAGAAAACATTAAACAAAAGCTTCATGACATTGGATTTGGCAGTGCTTTCTTGGGTTATGACATCAGAAGCAGAGGCAACAAAAGCAAAAATAGACAAATTGGACTTCACGATTATTCAGCAGACTAAAATGGCAACCCATAGAATGGGAGAAAATATTTACGAACCATGTATTTGATAAGGGTTTAATATCCAGAATATATAGAGAACTTATTAAAGTCCAAAACAAAAGAACATTCCAACTCAAAAATAGGCCAAGAACTTGAATAGACATTTCTCCAAAGAAGATATATGAATGATTACTAAGCACATGAAAAGATGCCCAAGATCATTAATTATTAGGGAAAGACAAATCAAAACTACATTGAGATTACCACCTCATACCCATTATGATGGCTGATACCAACAAACAAAAACAGAAAACATGTTCGTGAGAATGTGGAGAAATTGGAACTCGTGTGCCTACTGCCATTGGGAAAGTAAATGATGCAGCTGCTGTGGAAAACAGTATGGCAGTTGCTCAAAAAATAAGAAATAAAATAACCATGTAGTCAGCAATATCACTTCTGGGTCTAAATTAAGAGAATTGAAAGCATGGTCTCAAAGAGATATTTGTACATTCATGTTCACAGCTGCATCATTATTCACAGTAGCCAAAAGGTGGATAAATGTCTATCAGTAGATGAATGGATAAGCAAAATTTGGGGTGTGTGTGTGTATAAATGGAATATTGTTCAACCTTTAAGAGGAAATTCTGACACCTGTTACCACATGGATGAACTTTAAGGACATTTTGCCTAGTGAAATAAGGCAGGCACAAAAAGATAAATACTGTATGATCTCATTTATATGAGGTACCTAGAGTAGTCAAACTCATAAAAACAGAAAGTAGAATGGTAGTTGCCAGGATTAGCTGGGAGGGGAAATGAGCTGTTTAATGGGTACAGAGTTTCAATTTTGTAAGAGGAAGAAGTTCTGGATAGTGGTCACACAACAGTATTGAATATATTTAACATGACTAAACTGTGCACTTAAAAATAGGTAGGATGGTTAATTTTATGTTATGTGTATTTTACTCAAAGAAAATTAGGGAAAGAAAAAAGTCTAAATGTGGGACAGAATCAGTTTTCAGACATTTTGTTGGATGCTTTTTAATATTTTCAAGAGCTGTGTAGGTTTGGTACACTGATTCTTTAATATGTTTCATTTCAAAACTTAAGACTTTTCCTTGATTTAGGATTATGGAAGGATCACTCTCACTTCTTTTAATAATATTTACTATGATTAAACTTATTTCAGGATGGGAGTTGTGAGATGCTTATAAATGCAATGAATAAAAAGAGGAAGAGAGATTTTCCTGAGTTAATTGGCTGGCTAACATCTCCCAGAAGAGAGAGATGAACAGACAATATGTATTCATATAAGGGAAGTGATTTCTGTTGGAATTAGCTAGATAATTTTACAAGCCAAAGACAAAGCATAATATATATTAAGCTTCTGGAGAAAAGAAGGGTGTGTTAAGGCAGAAGCACTGGGTTGCTGCCCACTCTAACATGGTGTGTTGCAGCTTATGAGGGGCACAAGCAAACACCTGACCAAACTGCTTATTTTGTATATTGGTTTGAAGTCCAGAATTGAAAATTTTGTTTGCATGTGGGTTCATGATTTGAAAATGTTCATTTTGGATATCAATTGTTAACTCTAGTTAATATATAGATTAAAATGAGACTATTTGCAAAACCCCTAATGCCTGATACAGTGTAGTTATTCAGTAAATGTTACCCATGTTTGAGTTTGATTTTTTTCTGTGTTGTAAAAAGGGACTAGATTGACCAGGAATTTCCCAAAAGCACATTGCAATCTCTTGAAACTCTAGATTGTAATTTATTGCTATAAGGTATATCATGATCCTGTGACTGTGTGGCATGCTTGTTCATATTAACTGTCTCCTGATGACTGAGTCCTCTGATTTGGTTCTGGAGAGCTCTTGTAGATGAGAAAAGTACAGTGGGTGGACTCTAAAGAGTCTGTTCTTAGGAGGAGTGACGGTGAGGTTTAAGAAAAGTGACTGGAAGTGGAGAATTAGCCTGCCACTCAGTGAAATTAGAACTGGAAAGGAACCTCGGAGGTGGTTTATTCTGACCTTTCATTTTATGGCCGAGGAGACTATAGAGAAGTGGTTTGTCCAGTGTCATAGCTGTAGTGGAGAATCAGAGTCAGTGGCTTCTAAAGCTTCTGATATCCAAACATCCTAGAACTTAGACGATAGCGTTTTTACTTGACTGTGTGAATGATAACCTATACGTGTCATTTGCATTTTAAAAATAAATCTTATATTTTTATACTTGAGTTTATTGAAATAGATTAATTGAACTAACAGTGCTACCAGAAGTCTCATAAGGAAAATCATTGTTTTAAAAGAAGTAAGAAATTCCTGACTTTTTTCTGTTTCTAGATTAAGTCAGCAAACAAAGAAAACATGGTATTTTGAAGTATGATTAAACTCCTGATGCTGCAGAAGAGGCTAAGAATATTAATGGCCAGATCTAGGTAAGTTGAGGTTTACCGTAGGGAAAAAAAGAAAAAACTGTTAAGTTCACATTATATTCTTTTAAACAAGAGATTTTAGTTATGTTTTCTTGAATGCAGTCATGTTGCCTCCTGACTTGCTGTCACCTCCAACAAATAGGGACAAATGGCTTTAATGAAACTAAGGCAGTGTTTATGAATTTAAAATAATCAGCCAACTTGCTGCAGTATTGATCTTCCCAAACGGTAGCAACCTTTTGCTCTTGAATGTACCCTTGGTTACTTTCCCATGTTGCTTTCTCGAGAGAGCATAGTTATGTTTTTTTTCCCCCCTTGAGGACAGTTTTTATTTTTTTATTCTTTTAATGTTATTTATTTTATTTTATTTTATTATGTTAATCACCATACGTTACATCATTAGTTTTTGATGTAGTGTTCGACGATTCATTGTTTGTGCATAACACCCAATGCTCCACGCAGAACGTGCCCTCTTTAATACCCATCACCAGGCTAACCCGTCCCCCCACCCCCCTCCCCTCTAGAACCCTCAGTTTGTTTCTCAGAGTCCATCGTCTGTCATGGTTCGTCTCCCCCTCCGATTTCCCCCCCTTCATTTTTCCCTTCCTGCTAACTTCTTTTTTTTTTTAACATATAATTCAGAGCATAGTTATGTTTTTGCTGAGTTATGAATTTGGTTGGGTAAGATGGTGAAATCATATGGCTTCTCATCAAGTGTTTACAGTATTAATGCACATTATTAGGTCTTACACAACTCAGATGTAGTCTCCAAATATTAATCTGGTGGTCATAAATGCAGAATATCTAGGATCATGCCTTTTCCCTCGCCCTGGAGTTTGTGGTTTGGGAGGAGGACTCAGATGTGGATGAGACTCCACATTAAAAAGTCTCCTTCTGTGCTGGAAGATTGACCACAACTTGCCATTGTTTGAGCTGTTTCAGTCTCCCGCTTCTCCTAAGCCTGTTATTCAACCTTACCAAGGCCTCCTGTTCCTGTTTGCCTCCATTTTGTCCCCATTTCATCAGGCCTCTTCTTTCTTTACTTCTGTCCTGACCAGACCTGGTGATCCATCACTTCAAACCCCTGTTATTGCCAATATCCTTTAATTTCCTTGTCCTCCTAACCCTCTGACCCTGGGTTACCTGAACGGTCTGCCCTCTGAACTACTGAGCGCTGCTGCAAACCCAGCATCATCTTCCTCTCCAGCCTCCGCTGAGCTCTCAGGGCAGCCTGCTTAATCATCCTGCCACCTTTCGGGGGGCAGCCCCTCTGTGAATAATCCTACCTTCTCCTCAAGTCCCTCATCCTGCAGACTGGCCTTCTGTTTCACAAAGGACATTCAGGATGATGGATGTTACCTGCTTCAGCTTCTCTCCTATGCTCCAGCCATCCTTATTGACTTTCCTCTCTCCTCAGAGGGCAAGGCATTCCTACTTCTAGGGGCAGACTTCTCATTCTGGGTCCTGCAGCTCCTCTTCTCCGGTCTCCCCTTTTGTCGTGATCCATCGTGTAGCACATTTTTTTCCTTTGCTTTTTGTCCTAAAAATTTTAACCTTTCTTGACCTACTAATCACAAACCTGCATCAGTCTATGTCATCTGAAAACAAGTAACTCAGGCAACATATTTTCTTTTGAAACCATGTCTGTCTACACTGAAGCACTTTGCCCTTTCCTTTCTGAACCTGTTCTTGAAAGAGCAGTTTCCATTCCTGGGGGGCTACTTCCTTATCTTCCATTTGTTCACTTCAGTTTGGTTTCTGCCTCTACCAGTCTACCATGAGTGGAACCCTCCTTCTTGACACTTTCTTTTTTCAGTTGGTACTGTTTTGATTTTTTTTTTTCCTCCTTCACTTCATCCCTCTCCTTCAATACTTTAACATTTCCCAGAATTAGAATTGAAATTCCCCAGAATTCCAACTGTAGACCCCTCTTTATACCGTCCTTGGGCAGTGTGTTCTGCTTTATGACTTCAAATACCATGGGTGTATCAGTATTTTCTCTCCTTCCTCAAATCCATACTCATGTATTTAACTCTCTGTTGCATATCTCCATTTGGTTGTTCTCTAGAATCTCCACTTAACATGTCTAAAACTGAACTAACCACCATCACTTCCACTTGAAGACCACCGTGGTTTTCTGTCTCAGGTAATAGAACCAGCACCCACCATCTGCCACACTGGAAACCGTCTCTTCCTTCCTGTCTGCCTAGCCAGCTGCTCCATGCTGCTGACGGGTCTCCCTGAATAGTTTAAAAATTCCTCTTTTTTGTCTTTATTCCTAGTATTGCTGCTCTGGTGTTAGGTCTGTAGCATATCTCATTTTTCAGTATTCTCCAACTGGTTTTTCTTCTCTGAACTGAACTGCCACTTAAATTTATTCTGCAGGTGGATAACCTCACTTTCCTGCTCCAAATTCTTCACTGGCTTTCCATCATGTGTAGGATAAAATCTATTCTCCTTATTAGTATGGCATACAAGGCTTTTGGGTCACATGTTAGGCTTTTCATTAATTGTTGTTGTACTGAATTGACACATTTCGTGTGGATAGAGTTTTCAAGTAGGTTGTACCACCACCCACATATCCTTGACAACACAGGAGGTGCTGCCTTTAACAGGTAGCCTGTGAAGGTGGCAGGTAGAAGAATGATTTTCTAGGGGTCCCTGGCCGGCTCAGTTGGTGAAGCATGTGGCTCTTGATCTCAGGGTTGTGAGTTTGAACCCCACGTTGGGTATAGAGATTACTTAAAAAAATTAAATAAAAAAAAACTAAAAACAAAAGAAGAATGATTTTCTCCTTCTTTTGAGAAATAGTTTAAAAACATTCCTTTGAGGCACCACCTTTTGAGGCAGAAGCCGCACTGTAGTAATCTCTTAGCTCTTTATGTTCAGGAACAGGTCGGTGGTGAGGATGGATAAGACTTTGTTTCTGTCATTTATCCCTCTACTGAAAAAAAAAATGTTTTTAGTATTCTTTTGCCTCTTTCTCATCCCATAATTTATTAAGTAGTTTTCAGGCATTCCTTGTTTTATTACACTTTGCTTTATTATGCTTTGCAGATACTGTGATTTTTACAAATTGAAGGTTTGTGGCAACCCTGCTTTGAGCAAGTCTATCAAAGCCATTTTTCCAACAGCATTTGCTCACTTTGTATCTCTGTGTCATATTTTGGTAATTCTCACAGTATCTCAAACTTTTTCATTATTATATTTGTTATGATCTGGGATCAGTGATAATGACTCACTGAAAGCTTAGATGATGGTCAGCATTTTTAGCAATGAAGTATTTTTTAATTAAGGTACATACATTGTTTTGTTAGACATACTGCTATTGCACATGAATAGACTGTGGTATAGTGCAAAACATAACTTTTATATGCACTGGGAAACCCAAAAGTTGATTTGACTCGCTTTATTGTGACATTGCTTTTTTGCCATGGTCTGGAAGCAAACCTGCAGTATCTCCAAGGTGTGCCTGTATTAATTTTTTTTTAAAGATTTTATGTATTTATTTGTCAGAGAGAGAGAGTGGAGAGCACAAGCAGGGAGAGTGGCAGGCAGAGGGAGAAGCAGGCTCCCCGCTGAGCAAGGAGCCCGATGCGGGACTCGATCCCAGGACCCTGAGATCATGACCTGAGCTGAAGGCAGACGCTTAACCAGCTGAGCCACCCAGGCGTCCCAAATCTTTTTCTTTTAAATACCTTATTAATTTATTTGTCAGAGAGAGAGAGCACAAGCAGGGGGAGCGGCAGGCAGAGGGAGAAGCAGGCTCCCCACTGAGTAGGGAGCCCGATGCAGGACTCAATCCCAGGACCCTGGGATCATGACCTGAGCTGAAGGCAGGCACTTAACAGACTGAGCCACCCAGGTGCCCCTAATTTTTTTAAATTAAACACTTAGGGACCACGTCAGGACATGGTTATGTCAGGTGATATGTTTAGTGCCCTAGAAAATTAAGAAGAGAAGGTTCCTATCTTCAGGGAAATCATAGTGAAGTCAATGTTGAGACAGATAAACATTACAATAGAATGTGATAAACGCCATGATAGAGTCATATCCATTTGACTTGGAAGATACTGAATGCCATCTAGCTTCAAGTTACTTGGAGTCCCAGATCCCTACCCTGTTGTTCAGGACCTTTATACGGTTTGGGCCCTGCTTGTGTTACGGCCGACCCTGTACTGCAGTCGTTTTGGACACCTCACTTTTTTCTGAATGCAGTACCACCTTTCATGATCTTTCATGACCTTTGTCTTTGTATTCTTTGTACTCTTAACTGTCTCAAGTACCTATTTCTGTTTTTTGCCCAGTGCATTGTTTCTGTTCACCCTTTTGAGTACCAGCTCAAATGGTGCGTCCTGCCCTGCTAACCCAGAAAGTTACTTGCTCCCTTTTCTGTGCCCACAGAACTCTTCTCATATTTTCATATAACATTTAATCATAATGCATTATCTGTTTACATCTCTGTCTCTCCCTCTAGACTCCTGACTCTTCAGAAGTACATACTGTGACTTAATCATCTTTATGCCATGTTATTTAGCTGGCATATTACTTAGGGCAAATTACCAAATATGAGTCTTAATTAACTTTACTATTTTACTTATCACTTCTTTTGGTTTGTGCACTGGTACACTTTTTCATCTGCTTAATACTTGTACCTGCCAGCATTCTTTACCTTTGTTTAGTACAGTGCAGTTCATTCAGCTCACAAGAGACTTAGAGCACTACTCTGGGCTAGGTAATGTGTTAGGCGTGGGGAATGCAAATTAGTTCTTGGGAAGGAGCTTACAGTGCAGGGGGAGCAATAGTTAAGTAAACAGATGATCTATCACAATTTCTGCTAAGTAAGCAATGTGAAGAATGCTATGATACTGGGAAGCCCAGGGTGCCTTGGGGGTGTAACTCTCCCAGTTGCTTGGAATCAGAGAAGGCTCCCTGAAGGAACTGCACAGTAGGATCTTGAGAAAGGAAAGGAGCAGCATGGAAGGATGTGGGAGGACAAGTTGCTCTGGGGCGACTGCTGAGTGTGACTTGGGAGGGCTTGAAGCAGAGACAAAGGGAGTTCAGACTAGCTCTGTAGCCAAGGACGAGATGGTGAAGAACCTTGTGTCATGCTGACAAGCTCCAAATGTTTTTCTAAATGTAGTGTGAAGAGCCCCTGAAGAATTTTAAGCCAGTTTTATCAAATTTAGGTTTTTAAATATTAAATAGCTTCTTCTGCTTTCTTCCCTCCCCCTTTTCCAAATATTGTCACATTCATTCTGATTCTTCCCCTTTTTTTAAGTGATGTTTTGAATTTTTCCTTTGTTCATTTGGAGTTTTCTTGAACACTTAGTGTCACCTATAACCTATTATCTCTAACCTTGTGTGGGAAAGGAGGATTAGACAGACATGCTCTGTCAGTTTTGCCAAAATTCTCTATGTTGAGTTACTCCTTGATTGTTGGGTTATTTTTCTCTCTTAATGAATATTCCAAATTTGTTTTTGTGTCTTATTTACCAATCAACTTTTGCCTGGTGAGGTACATAAAGGATATACTACAGTGAGTAATAAGAATCAAAATACCTTCCAACCTTAAAGTCCATCATCCCTTTGGAATTTTATTAAAAGAGGGACATGAAATTTCTGATAAACCATTGAGGGCTAATTCCATGAATGACTTTATTTAAAGTGTTACATATGAGATGAGACCTTAATTGGTTTATTTGTTTTTTTAAAAGATAATTTTAAAATAGGCAGACCTTTGCAAATTAAACTGGCAATTTGAGATTTCTGTGAAGTCTACCTCACAAAATTATTTTCCTTGTCACTGAGCAAAATTTACCAGCTGAATGTTTGAAATCTAGCTCAGCCCTGTACCTTCTTGGGCTTAAATTTCCTCATCAAAATAATGCAGGACTTGTGATAGATGATTTCTAAAGTCTTTTTCTGTTTTATGAGTTTTGTATCCTACATTTAATATTTTTTTCCAAATTATCTTTCATGTAGTGCTCACATGGTCTTCTGAAGAAGCCATGGGTAGCTGTTGTAGCTGTCCAGATAAAGACACTGTCCCAGATAACCATCGGAACAAGTTTAAGGTTAGTAAAACTGGTTGAGTTATATCTCTCTGCCTACTCGGATGTTCTTCTTTTTCTTCACATTCTATATCATACCTCCTCATTTTTATCTCCGGACTCTTCTATTTCTCTTTGTATCCATTCTGCCTTTTCTTGTTTTAACAGATGATGACAATATGTTCTTACTGACAGTGTGGAATCCTCTTTTACTTTCCCTTTAGTCCTCTATATCCAATTAGAGCCATACAGTTCTAGTAAAAAAACAATTTTAATGCCATTTTATAGGTGCCTCTTCAGTCTGGTCACCACCTCCCAGTCATTGCTTCACGTCTGGATAATTTCTTAGCAGAACTCTGCCTTGAGTCAGTCACCTTTGTGATCCATCCTGCAGTTGACATCATATTAATCTTCCTCTTTCATCATTCTAAAACTTCTAGTGTTCTGTTACCTAGAGCACAGGTGCTCCATTTCTTACCTCTCCACAGCCATTTAGTGTCTCCCGTAGCCTGACCTCAGGTTGTCATACATCGTGGCCTCTGGATCACACAGACCCAGGTGTGAGTCGAAACCGTGTTGCTTTGTAACCTTAGGCAGGTTACATTATCACTGTGTGTTTGTTCCAGTTTTGTACAGTACAGTGGAAAAAACAGCATTACCTGCAGTTTAGGATTGTTATAAGGATTAAATGGAAAAAATATGTGGAAAACGCTCTGCCAGCCCCAGGAATATAGACAGTTTTCTCCCAGTGTTACCTACTCCTCATAGTCTCTGGCCATTTCCAGAAACTGAGCAGTGCAAGGCCTCCCATTCCGTGAACTCTGTGCCAGTCTTGTCTTGGTCTCCCTGAAACATACCTTCTTCGTCTCTGCTATAGCACTGCATCTTTAGGATATGCCTCACAACCCCTGACCCACTGGTTCTCTCCTGAGGCCCAGCCGAAGTCCCTCCTCTTCTCACGTGAAGGCTTCCCCAGCCACCCTAGGCCACAGTTACTGCCTTTTGCAGCCTCTGTTGGCACCCATTTGTCCATTGCTCATATACAGCTTTGTGTTGACTTCATGTTTGTACATCTTCTATGCTCACTGGGCATGTGAGCTTCTTGTGGATAGAACCAGATATTTCACTGCTACGTGGTCCATGCCCTGCACACACATTGGTTGATGAATGAACTACTAACAAAGGAGCGAATAAGTGAACCAGTCAGCAACAGTGCGTTTTAGTGATAGACGGGTGAAATACGTGTATGACCGTCAAGTGACAATATTAGGTTGGCACTAATTAAATGTTCTTTTTTAGGTCATTAATGTGGATGATGATGGGAATGAGTTAGGTTCTGGCATAATGGAACTTACAGACACAGAACTGATTTTATACACTCGCAAACGGGACTCGGTAAAATGGCACTACCTCTGCCTGCGGCGCTATGGCTATGATTCAAATCTCTTTTCTTTTGAAAGTGGCCGAAGGTGTCAAACTGGACAAGGTAGGTAGATCCTTTAATTTTTTTGTTCCCCAAACAGTAACACATTTGAAAATTGTTCTTTCAGTTATTCTGTTTACAATGTTTAAATAAATACTTTACTTTTTTCCTGATAGAAAAAAAATTCCCCAACTAAGTGGATTGTTAAGAAAAGAGATACAGTAAACTGTGTCTTCATTTATCAGGAATTTATTAAGCACATTCTCTTTGTACAGAGTTTTGACTCATTTAAGATTTTCAGTAGATGATTAGTTCCAGTAAATTTACTATATGTATCTTTACTGTTATAACTTTTTGGGGAAAGAACCTAAACTTTAGTCAAAGAGAACGCGGTTTGATTTTTTTGCTACCTACTGCTTGGCAAGTTACATGATCTCTGTGGAACATCAGGTTTCTTCTCTATCGGAGAGGAATGCTAATCCCTACTTTATAGAACTGTTGTAATAATTAAACAAGGTAAGGATTGTAAACCATCCAGCAAGGGACTGTCAAATGGTAAAGGATCACCTTGGTAATGGTGACTTGGGTGCCCCCTGCTGTTAAAAAGCAGGCCAAAGCAAGTGTTCAAATCTTGTTTTTGTCTGCCTTGTTTTGGGCTCTCTCCCTGAGACATGGGAAAATTAGTCTGTGAATTTCCTTTTGGGTTTATGTTTTGAAACAGAGAATATCATTAATTTATCAGACATCTATTTAAAGGGCCTTTCTTCCTGTCAGGTCATACAATGCTTACTTTACAGTTTTGTTCTTTGACAGGTGTTCCTGTATCTTTTTTAAAGCTATAGCTACCATTTTCCCCTTCTCTTTTATATTTGTAGGAATCTTTGCCTTTAAGTGTGCCCGTGCAGAAGAATTATTTAACATGTTGCAAGAGATTATGCAAAATAATAGTATAAATGTGGTGGAAGAGCCAGTTGTAGAAAGGAATAATCATCAGACAGAATTGGAAGTCCCCAGAACACCTCGAACACCTACAAGTAAGTACCAATTTTCCCTCCTATATTTTGGGAAAAGTTTTCAATTAGCCATAATCGTGCCTCAGATGAACCTCATTGGCTGTGATACTGCCACTGTGCAAAGCTCCCTCTTGTATTTTGAATACTAGACATTTATAAACTTTGGATTATGGATATTTAGTCTCTAACGCCTTAGAAATCACCATTGGCTAACGTAAGTGTAATGGTTGTCAGTTTTTTTGTTTAAACTGTTAGAGCTATAATTATAAACATTTTTAATATTTTAAGTAAGAAAACATTAAGAGTTCTATGTTACCTAAAATGTGAATGGAAAGTTGGAGTGGAAGGAGGGTGTTGTTTGTGCTCTGGTTTCGGTTGTGTCTTGCCAGAAACACCTTGCTTAATTTTCTCAGTGCAGATTTCATTTTCATTCACTTTTATCTCTCTGTCCTGCCCCGATATTCTGCTTTTCTTCTTAAACCAATAAACAAAAACTCAGCTCCGGGGTTTGCTGCTCAGAATTTACCTAATGGATATCCCCGATATCCCTCATTTGGAGATGCTTCATCCCATCCCTCAAGCAGACATCCTTCTGTGGGAAGTGCACGCCTGCCTTCAGTAGGTGAAGAATCTACACATCCTTTGCTTGTGGCTGAGGAGCAAGTAAGCATGTACTACTGTCTAACGGGATAATGGATTAAAGTGTGGAGTTAAAGCATTACTGCGCTGATACGTGGAAATTTTAGTCTGAATTTTAGCTTTCACTGTTTATGACTTTTGTAGTGAAGAATCAGAGGAAACAGCTTATATTTCCTAACATATGCCAAATACGTAAACGTGTGGAGGGAAACGTAGCATTACAGTAGCCAGTGGGCTCACAGGAGAGGTACATCTATAGATAAAAACAGATATAACTAATGGTCAGTTCTTGCTATAATAACTGCTGATGGATTTGGAATTTATACTGTTTTTTTTATCAGTGGACTACTAGCAGGAAGGTAGATTTTGTTGTCAATGTTTTTATGAAGCTATTTAATGTTTCTAACTATTGTGTTTTTCATTTGAGGAATGAAGTATTTGGTTCATCATTGTCTATATATTAATTAGTTATTCTTATCTTTTGTAAACCAAATGGTCACATATCATTAAGAAATTTTTACTGTTTTAAAATCTGTTTCTCTGTGTTCTTTACAAAGTAAATGAGTTCTTATTTACTATAATTACACTTCCCTCAGTTTTTACATTTCATTTTTGAATTTTTTCAAATTTTATGTATAGTCTTCCAAACTCTTTTTTTAAGATTTATTTTAGAGAGAGAGCGAGCTCGCTTGTGGGGGGGAGGGGCATAGGGAGAGGGAGGGAATCCTAAGCAGACGCTGCCCCCCTCTGCCCCCCCACTGCCCCCAGCGCGAAGCCTGATATAGGGCTCAGTCCCATCACACTGAGATGATGACCTGAGCCAAAATCAAGAGTTGATACTTAATTGACTGAGCCACCCAGGTGCTCCTAGTCTTCCAAACATTTTTATAGCGTTCCCTGAAAATACTATTGACCTTTTCTTTAAATAGTGATGATTTCTTAGTAGGTCGTATTTATTTTATATCAATGCATTTTGTAGAACTCTTATTAAATCTAGTAGGGTTTATCTCTTTATTTGGTCACATTATTTGCAAATCATGATAAATTTCTTTTTTTTAATACTTGTTATTCCTTATTTCTGAATCATGTTTTAATGCATTGATGAGAATTTCTAAAACAACATCAAAATAGTAATCCCAATTTGTTCCTGATTTTTTTTTTAACAATGCTTTTCATTATCAAGTACAATGTTATGTGCTATTTTAGAGTAGTATTCTGTTTTTTGTTTGTTTTTTTTTTAAGATTTTTATTTGTTTATGTGAGACAGAGAGGGAGAAGCAGACTCCCGCTGAGCGGTGAGCCTGACACGGGGCTCGGTCCCAGGACCCTGAGATCCTGACCTGAGCCGAAGGCAGACGCTTAACCGACTGAGCCACTCAGGCGCCCTCTAGAGTAGTTACTCTTCTATCAAGTAAAGAATGTATTTCCACAATCCTCTCCTCTGTCCACCTTTTTATTAGTGAAAAACAAGGACAGAAGCTTTGAAGGGAGAGTATAGGGAGAAGGCTCATCGACAGAATTTAACTGATACGGTCAGCCTTTTTTTGCTTTTGTTTTAAGCAAGTTATTGATCCACTTCTCTGTTTTGTTTTAGGTACATACCTATGTCAACACTACAGGAGTGCAGGAAGAGCGGAAGAACCGCACAAGTGTGCATGTCCCATTGGAGGCGAGGATTTCGAATGCTGAAAGCAACACACCAAAAGAAGAACCAAGTAGTATTGAGGACAGGGACCCTCAGATTCTTCTTGAGCCCGAAGGAGTCAAATTTGTCTTAGGACCAACCCCTGTTCAAAAGCAATTAATGGAAAAAGAGAAACTGGAGCAACTTGGAAGAGACCAAGTCAGCGGAAGTGGTGCCAATAGCACAGAATGGGACACTGGATATGACAGTGACGAGCGAAGAGATGCACCCTCTGTTAACAAACTGGTGTATGAAAATATAAATGGGCTATCTATCCCTAGTGCCTCAGGGGTCAGGAGAGGTCGTCTGACATCTAGCAGTACCTCAGATACCCAGAATATCAACAACTCAGCTCAGAGAAGAACTGCATTATTAAACTATGAAAATTTACCAGCTTTGCCTCCTGTTTGGGAAGCCCGCAAGCTAAGTAGGGATGAAGATGACAATTTAGGACCAAAGACCCCATCTCTAAATGGCTACCATAATAATCTAGATCCAATGCATAACTATGTAAATACAGAGAATGTAACAGTGCCAGCAAGTGCTCACAAGATAGACTATTCGAGGCGTCGGGACTGTACACCGACAGTCTTTAACTTTGATATCAGACGCCCAAGTTTAGAACACAGGCAGCTCAATTACATCCAGGTTGACTTGGAAGGCGGCAGTGACTCTGACAACCCTCAGACTCCGAAAACGCCTACCACTCCCCTTCCGCAAACCCCTACGAGGCGCACAGAGCTGTATGCTGTGATAGACATCGAGAGAACTGCTGCTATGTCCAATTTGCAGAAAGCACTGCCCCGAGATGATGGGACCTCTAGGAAGACCAGACATAATAGTACTGACCTGCCCATGTGAGCCTGGAAAGCGGTACATCGTTTGCACCTTTGTGAAGTTTTCAAAAATGAAGATGCAAGTGCTTCATTTTCATTTCTAAACACTAACTCCTTTTATAGACTGATAAGATTTTTTTCTGAATATTTCCTGTGCTTCTTTAACTAAAGGGAATTAAAGTAGAGCAGGTACTCATTAAAGAACACTAATTTCAGTATATACTACTCATTACTGTACAGCAGCATTCCCATTTTCACAGTGCCTATTTAAAATGAGAGTTGAAGTGAGTGACATGCTGGTTGATTTTTATCAATATTCTGGACTGACGCATATCATTCATGTCTAAGTCACGGTTGGCATTTAAAACATTTTATAAAGCCTCTTGATAATGTGCACTGCTAACAGATAACTCTAGGCTTTGAAAGTACTCTTTGTAGATTCACTATTCATGGTATATGGCCTCCAGCATGTAACATGAGGAATCCTTTATTTCATTAATTGTAGGCTTTTTGACTTGAGCCAAAACATATGTAAAGGAAATAGAAGTACCACACCTCCTTATATACCAGTCAGTTCCTTTGCCTTCTGCGTTACTAGAAAGAGTCCTGTGCCCGTGAATGTGGTTTGCTCTTGGTGTGTTGAAAGGCAGGAAGGAGACAAGATTTTCTGTTTACTCATCTCATGTCATTTGAAGGGCATGCCCACATATCTTCATCAGAATTACACTAGACGCAAGAAATCAGTCTCAGGTCACTTTACCCAAAAACATTTGGAAATCTGAACCACGGTCTCTTGGAAGTTTCTCTCCTATAGATTAGTAACAGTGACATTGTTTTCTGGAGGCGTTTGTGCCATTGGGTTGCCGTTTACCTTCAGTTTTTTCCTTTGGCGTTTGGGGTGGCTTATTTTGTTGCTTAATGTCTTTTTTCCATTTAAAATGTTTGAGTCTGTATATAGTTTTGAAATTGGATTATGTGTTCGTTGTTTAGTTTGCATTTTTTGTCAAATTATGGTTTTGAAGGTTCATTTGGAACTTACTGTTATTCTATAACAGGGTTGCCCTTGTCCAGTATTTATTTATATGCTGTTTACTGTTCAAGCTGATAAAAACATTCGCTCAATTTGAAACTTCACTTGTGTCCATAGGTGATCTCTTTAACAGCCGAGAAAAAAGGAAGCTACTTTTCACATGCAAAGTTCCCTAAAGGTACTGTGTTTTCTCTGTGGGCACTCTCCCCAGCACTTTAGCAGTGATTCCCTCGTCCCACAGCTGCAATTGTACTTTGCCCACAGTAGTGCTTCTCAGCTCTGCTGTCCTTTTACTCATAGCTGGAGCTTTGATGATCCCTTGATTTAATTCGAATGCTAGGATTGTTGCCAGCATAGCAGGTACAGAGGAAGTCTTAGAGCAATGAGATTGTGTCATAATTTAAGATTTAAAATGAATTGAAGTTTATATAAACTGAAGAGAGTCCATATGTCTAACTCTTGGAAAATCAAGAATGTTCCAGTTTCTCAAACACTAGAGAAGACAAGAGACGGTAGAGTGGAAAGGTTAGGTTACTGTTTTCTCTAAATATGAGGAAGTTTGAGGTCATGATTTGGATCTATCTACCAGATGTAACTAAGGTTAATTTAGGATGAAAAGGTTTCAGTCATATAGCACCCAACCTGATCAGTAAATAACCTAATTATAGGACAGTGGATGGATTAGCAGAATAATAGAGTGGGACCATTATAAAGAAAATAAATTATTAAAGGTGTCTTTATTATTTTCAGTGCCATTGGTTTATGTGCATAGCAGAATTTTCTTTCTTTTTTTTTTTTTTCTGTGAATTTGGTGCTTACTAAAGTGTTCCCTGTTCTCTAAAAAGAGAATAGTGATATAGGTGTGCAGTTTCCATTTTTAATATATTGTTCCATTTATGCTTTCTTCTGAGTAGATTGCTAATCGTGCCAAATTTATGTGATGGTTTTTGTAACGTGGAATAAGACTTATAATGGAACCAGTACATGTGGTTTTCTCCAAAACAAGCAGCCAAGACAGAACCTCCAAATGAAAGGGCTGACCTATTGATTCATTTTGGAGGTTGGATACTTTATTTTCTTTTCCTCATCATTTTCATTTTCCTTCCGGGTTCTACTTAGTTTTTATATATTTTAGGTAGCTCCAATATAATCATTGCAGTTTATGCTTTAAATACTGTGTGCTTTAAAAATGAAAATGGGACCAATTTGTCTGCTACGAATTTGATTTTAGGTACTCTGAGTATTAGGAAGATGTATACAACTGGTGTTTATTTCTAGATGTCTCTGGAAATCACCTGTGTTCCTATTTAATAAAAAGTAATGTAGAACACTACTTGTCCTTTGCAGTAGTCTAGTCATGGGCATTAAGCTCTGTCCTGGAAGAATGTACCTGTCACTAGGTGCATTTTAGAATGAGATATTTTATTGGGATATAATTGTGGCCATATGTTTCAGATTTTCTGAGAGGGACCTAATTTTAGATATTCTGTTCCGTTGATAGACCATGGGATCCCACTTTTTGGTTTTGGAAATATAATCATCATTCATATGCTTCCCCCCCCCCCCCAATAGAGTCCTCTTTTATCCATACAGGTGATAGCAGCTTGTTATCCCAGATCAGGGGTTGGAAACTGATATGGGTATTACCTGTGTTTTTTCTTCATGTGTTTTCTTTCCCAGTTTCATCTTCCTTTAAAAATGAAAATATGGTGCCTTCCCTCCCTCCAGGAAGATTGGCAAATCGTTCCTTTTATTTACTGCTGCTGTGGAGTGATGAGATATGCACTTTACTCTTGAAGACTCAGCAAAAAGCTTTTCACTTCCCAGTATATCCAGAACAGATCACATTTGGGACTTATGAAAATTTGCCAAGCAATCTTTGTTTTTGTAGATATTAATGTTGACCCTACAGTTCAATGTTATAGGTCAAGCTAGTGTTTGTTTATTCCCCCCCCTCAAAAAAATCTGTGGCACAACATATAAAAATGTACCTCAATAATGTTCTATTAAAAATGGGACAGGGGCCTTATGTTTTCATAATTTCCCAGTAATGTGCCACCATATTTTTGCCTCAAGGTAAAGGTTTTAACAAGCTAAAAAGTACTTCCCACTTCCCCCTGTGCTGTTCCTAACCCATAATGCCCAAGTGTTTTGTGCAATGTGTAGTGTGTGTGTGTAAATATATATATGTATATGTGTATATGCATATATATATAAAAATATCCCCTTGAAATAGACATACCATCAGAGACAACATTCAGAAGTAACTGATATATTGGCATCGTATTCATATTTCTGATATGTGAGGTCTATGGTACTAATTACCTTTTCCCTGATGTTTGCCAAATTTGAATAAAGGCATTGGTACGAAATTATAGAATGTATAGAAAATGCTTTTGGCTTGAAAAACTAACAGATATTTTATGACATACCACAATATACTCTGCCCAAACCAGCACCCTGTCTGTCCTGTGCTTTACATCCCTATTCCCCGTTCCTACTTCCTCATTTTTTGGGCGTATAACACGATTCTTTTGTAGCATCAATACAATTGCAATTCTATGACAATTGGACAATAATAGCATGGAAGCGGACTGGTATTAATAGTACAGTAGTCACCGGTGTGCCACATTTGCATTAGTAAATGCAAAATATACATTTTATAAAGGAAAAACTTTGTGTTATGTTTTTATTTTCATTACATTGTATAATACTGTAATATTATTGTATGTCCTAATTTGCATTATAAATGTTTTTTTCCTACATAAAGGCATAAATATAGCAACTTTGTATAAAGGTAGCGTGTTAGATTTTTAATTTTTTCTTTTATAAAAAATTGTCTAACAGTGGGACTACCATTGCCAAATTGTATATGAAATAGGAATTTTATCCCCTATGGTTAATTTCTTTTATAAACATTCCACATTTCTCTAATAAAAGACATAAGTGATACTGTACTATGCATAAATTGTATATTAATGCTGTTTCATATCAGCATTTTAAATTTTGGTTTGCATTTTTAATATTGGCAAAATTTACCACTGTTGATTAAAACCTTGTTGTATATGTAACAACATCTTTTGCCCTCTATCCCTTCCCACCCTTTGTTCTCTGTTTCTCCCTATCAGTGCCAACTTCATACATTTTGTAGCATGGCAATAAAATATAACTTTTACACTGAGGCCAAGTGTGGCTTTTTGGAGGACGTGGAGCTGGGAGGATTGCCCTCTAGTCGTTCTTTGCTTATGACTTTTTGCCATATAAACCGTATCTCCAGGCATGAGAAGTTATCTCATATATGATGTAAACATGCTTTTAAGGACAAGTGTGAATGTGCTTTTAAGCTTAATTTCTGTCATAGCAAATAAGAACTAATTTTTTTATCTTTGGAAAAGTCAGAGTTCTTGGAGTACAATCAAACCTTTATTAACTGGAGTACTTAAAGAATAAGCTAATAATTGAATTTAGTTCAACAAGGGCTAAGCAACACATTTTTAAAATCCTTATTTATTGTAGAGTATTAGTATACTGTCCTAAAAATTATATGTAAAATATGGTTTAATCTTAGATGATTTAGGATCTTGCAATGCCTTACTGTTGTCATTCTGGCATAAATTTCCATAATGAGGTACTCAAGTTGATACTGGAAGCTGAGCTGACTATACACTGACCTTAAGCATTCATGAAAAACTGCTTTGTTGAATAAAATCTGATCGGAATTCTTATGGTTACTTTCCCCTTATTGCCGAAAGTAGATTGCAATAAAACCCCAATAAAAGTTTGGTTGGATACCTATATAAAGTTTTCCTGTATTTATATTTCATACATTTCTTAAAACTTTATAAGAGGTTTTATTTCTTAGTCTCATATCATTGCCTCCATTTTCAAAGTGATCATATAGTGAATGGGTTAAAGATCATGTTTCATCAAAGTGAAATGAAGTTATAAATATTTGATAGATTCTCTCACAGTTTTATCTATGTGGTCATTCCAACTAGTAGTTCTCAGCGTTGGGACTCCAAACCTATTTTTAAGTCATAGTGTGACACTGCAAAGCCTATTTGGGTACAGCTCAAGATGGAGATCATTTAAACAATGAAGGGATAGTCCACATATGATTGGCTGCTTACTATGTGCCAGACACCATGGAACCCATAGATTGGTTAAGATGTGGCAGACA